ATGATTTGATATTTAGTTACTTATTTCCATTATATAAGAGGTGCTTATTTTCGGGTATATATGAATTGTAGGGGGTGTTTACTTTCGGGGGTGCTTATTTTCAGAGGAATACGGTAGTAAAGTTATTATAAATTAAAAAAACTACTATATAATTTTAAAAATAAGCCATTTTTTTAAAAAAAAATGTTATACAAAAATTATAAAAATTTTTTTTAAATAAATTTATTTTTGTTAATTTATTAGCTACAAGTAGCTTTTATATAAAAGTCAAAATTTTATTAAGTAAATTGAATATTTATTAATAATAAATATTGTATATAGTAAGGTGTGGAAATTTAGTGTAGTGGTTTAGTTATCACTCTCTTCAAGTGGCAGGTCTAAAGTTTGAATCCCACTGGCGATGATTTTAAAAAATAGGCCTGTGTATGGTTAACAGCTTTCTATTGGTTGGATTTAGATTAATCTGTAATCTTGGTTACACTATCTAGTAATAAAAGCTTTGGCACAATAAATTTAGGGAACCAGAATAACCGAAAACCCGTTTGGCAAATCCCGAGTTTGGAGATAGTGGTGATTTATGACAGTATTACAGGAGGGCTGAATTCGAACCAGGGCCTGAGATCAGAGAACCGAGTAACCAGGTCCTAATAGCAGAGGACATATCAGCCAAACCGCTTGGTTGTCGCACTGAAGAAAAAGGATATATACTCCGAAAGTATAAACCAAGGGGAGAGCATTCTTCAGATATCTAAAGCCTAGGCAGACTGACCCTTCTAGGTTGCTAGCTAGAAGTAAGAGAGAGACTAATAAAGAATCTGGATAAGAAAACGGTCTAAATGCGAGGTACTGGGGTTGCTAAGAACCAAAACAAAGACAAGGAGTATGTAATAGACACCTAGTTAGGAAGGTTGGTGCTTGAGAAATATCTATAGAATAGCAGTACCCTAAAAGGTAGCATGAGATATAAATATAGAACAGCAAGTCAATATGTACTAATTAGAAAGAAGTTATAGGAACAAGCATGTGAATATATGTGTAGAACATGTACCGCTATGTTGGATTTATCTTGAGGATAGTTAAGTGTCCTAAGGTAGGATGCAAAATCTAAATTGGGTAATACCAAAATCCAGCATATAAATAGTGAGAAAACTCATCAGGTTAGAGTAGGGATGGTAAAGTCAGTCCAGATCTGGTCTTGGTCCTAAGACCTTTAGGTCCTGCTACAAGAACCCTTGGACTAAGTCCTTATATAATAAGTTCTAGAACCTAGGTTAGTCTAGGTTTAGTTCAAAACTTGGTCCAAAAACCAGTTTAAAAACCAGTTTCAGGACCTAGATCAGGCTAGATTCGGTTCAGAACTTGGTCCAAAAACCAGTCCCAAGACTTAAGTCAGTTTAGGTTCAGTTCAGAGCTTGGTCTAGAACCAGTTCCACAGGCTAGAGTGGGAACAATTATTTATTGCTATGACTAAGAGAAAAATTCTATATAATAATATACTGTTTTTATGTATATACTATAGTACATATAAAAATATTTCTGCGATTTTCTATATAGAGATAGTGCAGCACATTGGGAATAAATCTAAATTATCGATCTTAATATGTGAAGGTCTCAATCACTTTGCATAAAAACCATAATCATAAAATGTTCATGAAATCTAAGTTTTCGCATGTTCTGCAAACAATATATACAGTATATAATAGCATGCTACAATGACAAATTTAGTTTATCTACATGAGTTAACTAATCTTTATTCTATACATATAACAGATAAAGGTTTAGATTTCCTGCACTATATACGTATAGTACGTATTTTTCTTATTTTCTGCTATGTATTATTTGTCCAAAGCCGCCAATCATATAACGATATACAATCATGTTTGTAATACAACTAAAAATTTCACTGAGTTAAATCAAATAACGTCTTTAATCTTTGAAACTTTTACAATAGAATAACCGAATAATAAAGAAACCAAATTCCCGACAACTATAACAAATATAACTTAAGATAAATAAAACTACTGTATTTAATTTTATAAAAAAAAAAAGAAAAAAAAAGAAACTAATTTCATAAAAAAAAAAAAAAAAAAATTAACACCTGATCTGCATTAATTTTAGATCTTTATTCGCAATATTTTAAAGTCATTTTTACTTCTTTTAATCAGATTTAACCTAGTTAATCACAAATTATAATTAGAAAACAAGAAAATATAATTATTTTTATTATTACTAACCGTTAGCAGAATTTCATTTTCAATCCAGCTTTTAGAACAAAGAAACACTCTTGATGTTTCTGGATCAAGACAATCTCGAGTCTTTGATATAGTATTTCCTGCTATCGAAAAAGCCTGTTCACAGCTATGCTAGTTGCCTGGATTGACAAATAATCTCTTGCCATATATGAAACTCTTTTGCATATACTTGCTGCTATAATAAAGGTGTAATATTTTCAGCACAAGGTAAAGCCAAGTATTATTCTAGCTCATCAGTGGGCTTTTGCTTTGTTTCAGAAATTTGTTCTGTGTAGTGTCATTTAAGCGCATGAAAGTATTGACGAGCTATATTAACATCATCTGTAACATAAGGTGGTGGGTGAGTTGAATCGTTAGATCTAAAATATTAACCAAATATTTCTCTAATTTTATCAATTGCATTAGAGGTTTGTTGTCCGACTTCAAGTAGTGAAAGCTTTGTTTGTGGGTCAAGAATAGTTGCAACAGTTGTTGCATTATCGATTATATCTTTATATTTGCTAATTTTTTCATTAATTGAGTCAACTAGTATATATTAATTAGATTCATTACTTTCTATATAATTATTTAAATATTCTTGAATACTGCCAAATACCAATCGAATATCTGCAATTGTTGGATATGAAGATACAAATAATAATTTTGTAGCCTTCTCTAATGGTTCCATTAAGATAAGTATTTTCTAATTTCAAATATTAAAATTTTTATGTTATAAGAACCAAAAAATTACTATTGTTTTAATATATTTTACCTTAATTTTTATCCATTCTTCTGCCATAGGCATTAAATTTTGAATTTCATTGTTATTGACAGCTAACATTTGCAAAGCAGTTTTTATTTGATTCATTTTTTTTAGCATATAATACATGCTGTTTCATCTCATTTCAACATCTAATTCTGGCTTCAAGTCTAACTTCTGTACAGTACATAGATCTCTTAATTCGTTATATAGCCTTATTAATACTTTAATTTTTGACATTAATATATGCATATTAGCAATTTCTTTTTCAATAACCTCTAACTCATGACATGCACCTAGATTTAATATATTCACAGTACATCTATAGTGACAAAAGCTTTGATTATCCAATTCTATTAGTAAGCTATTTGCCAAAACCCGCCCACAAACTAGCATGGCTGATTCGTTATCAGTAGTAAGAGCCAATATTTTATCCAGAAGATTAAATTCTATTAAGACTCTATTAATTTCAGTTGCTATATTTACTTCTGTATAACGTATATTAAAGGGAACAATATCTAACAAAAATCAATGAAACTTCCATTGATTATCTATATAGTGAATGGTAATTCCGAGAAAAGCTTCATGATTAATAGTTGACATCCACATGTCCGTTGTTAAAGAAACTTTGCCGGAAATTATATGTAAAATATTAATTATATTTACTCTTTGTTCTTTAAAGTAACTAATAACCATATCTTTAATTTGATGATGATCAGGAACTTTGTAACGTATATCAAACACATTGATTATTTCAATAAATTTTTTATTTCCAACGATGCTAAATAGTTGTTGGTCTACAATCACATAGGTGATTAAAGCAGTATCACAGTCTTTTCTTTGCTTCTCAGGCCATGGATCAGCATGATTAAATGATAACTTTGATTGGTAAGATTTAATTTTTAGGATTTTAATATTATGTTAGTTACTCAAATAGTTTTCTAAACTTGAGTTTCCAGTTTTATCTGAGAATTTGGCACTACATTTCTTGCATATTGGGTTATTAGGCTCTTTGACTTTAAAATCAAAATAAAACCATAAGGGTAATGGTTTTCTTGTACTATTAGTTAAGATTGTTAGAGTTGAAGTCAAATTGGTCTCTAACTCTGAGGAGGGCAATGCATTATATATTTCATTTCCATTATGATCATAATAATCAGTGTTTTCAGAATCTATAACGATGGATATTTCAGGATCAGAATTAATAGATAAGTCAGGATTCATGACAGTAGATAGATTGTGAATGGTCATGAAGATGCGAAGAGCAAACTGCTTGCGGTTTTTGATAAGAGATTTAAATATATATATATATTTTTTGATTTTACTTGATTAATAATATCTCTAAAATTTACAGGTTTTATACAAGGCTTGAATCTTTCGAATTTAGTTTATAATTGCAACTTTTGGGAATTTTCACAGGACCCCGAAATATATATGAGGTGTAAGGTTTTACAAAAATTACTAAATTTAGAAAGATTTGCAAAAAAAAAGTCAAAAATAAACAAACTAATTACTATAAATAGAAATAATCTGCACAAAAAGGATTGAAAATAAGCAAACTAAAATCTTACCCCTACATATATATTTCGGGGTCCTATTTTCACAATGCAAAAGTATATTATCTTGGATCTTTAGAATTTTAATAAGATTTTTTTTAATGATAATTTAAATAACGCTATTTTTTTTACAAGTCATATATTTAAGTTTGAATTAATCCCCCTTATTACCCCTTTCTTTAAACCTGTAACAATGATAACCTTCTAATATTATAATTGGATTTTCACGACGCAGAGATATGTTTATCCTGAGCATCGCAACTTTTGGAGATTTCATGATGCAAAGATATGTTTATCTTATAAAATTTTCTATTTTACTTTGACTATGGCTAATAATTTTTTTTATTAATTTTCAAATAAGGATATTATTAACTTGGCTTGGCTTGTAGATTTAACTATTATAAATAAATAGAGCTGAACAAGCTTATAACATCCCTATTTCAGGTGCATTACATTGTTCTTTTTTTGTTATAATATGCTTTTTTTTAACCAAATTCGTGTTTTAATCAAATTCATATATTTTGATCTATCATTGATTACTCATGATCCAGTGATCCAATATTGAAGATTTTGATATTAAAATCATCATGATTGAATTAATAAATTACAAGTTATCAATGATAGATCAAAATATACGAATTTGATTAAAACACGAATTTGGTCGAAAAAAAGTATACTTTGTTTCTACCTATAAAATACTGGGTAATGTATTAGGATATTTATGATGCCAAATATAACAAAGAATTATTGAATTTCTAATAATAATACAATAGATTGGGTGACAAATTTGTGCTTAAATAAAAGCAAATCAGGCTCCAACCAGAATCACGTAATCCCTGATATAAATCTAATTTGAAACAGATATTGGAGACTTTTAAGATACAAATCGGGCTCATATAAGCATTCAATATATATCAGAGTACTAATAGCTCTCTAGAAAGCTTGGTATTCTAATATGTATTGAACACCTATATGAGTCTAATTTTTATCTTGGGATTATGTAATGCTGATTTACTTTTATATGATCTGTGTAGTTTATTGTAGTTTATAAATTTTGTATTTTATATGCTCTTTTGAATTATAATGTTAATTATTTTTTAATTTTTAATAAACACTTTTTTGCTACCCAAATTTGGTAATTCCTAATGCCACTTCATATATACGTACGTAGTATATTTGATATTTTATTTTATGCAACAATAAAGCTACATGCAGGAGCTGGACATTCTATCTTATCATGTGCTGTACTTCTGGTGATCACTCCATATTCAATATTCTATAGCAGATCTTATCTTCTACTATAATATCACAGTTTTTTGTTAAAATTTTGTCATGTTTGATCTTGTTTTTATTTGTAATAGCAGACAAAAGAATAGCATTGTGGCAAATTTATGAAATATGTAAATATTGATTTAAACTAAGATAATCAATATCCTTAAGTTAGAATACATCATTTTAATAAATTTTTTATCAAAGTAGAAAGATAGAGTTAGACACGTTATCTATCTAAATCTAAGGGTCAAAAAATTTTTTTGGGATTTAACATTAATTAATTACATTTTCTGTTGATAACATTATACAAGTATTTTCTTAAAATAATTAGAACACCTATTGTATTTTCTAAAGTTCTAGATTTGAACTTAGAACCAGGTCCTTAAGTTCAGGACTTAGGTCTTAGAATTGGACTCAGGACCAGTCCTTAAGTCCGGGACTTAAATCCTAGAATTGGACTCAGGACCAGTTCTTAAGTCCGGGACTTAGGTTCTAGAATTGGACTCAGGACCAGGTTCTTAAGTTCTTGATTTAAAGACCTGGTCCTGAGTCCAATTCTAGGATTTAAGTCCCGAACTTAAGGACTGGTCCTGAGTTCAATTCTAGGACCTAAGTCTCAGACTTAAGGACTGGTTCTGAGTTCAATTCTAGGACCTAAGTCCCAGATTTAAGGACCTGGTCCTGAGTCCTAGACTTTCTTATCTCTAATTAGGATCTATAGCAAATCTATGGACCTAGGTTCCAAAATTAGAACCTGGTTTTTAAAAACTAGATCCCAAGACTAGGTTCTAGAGTTCTGGTCCCAAGGACTTTACCATCTCTAGGTTAGAGGGTAGATAGAGGTAGTTAGAACCAGATAGCTTAAATAAATACCCCCCTAGTTGGGGTGCAGGTACAGCAGATAGTGTAGAACCTTCGGACAGACTACTTAAATTAAACACTCAAAAGGTGCATATGCAGATTAATGTATCATCATTGTAATTACATATAAAACTCTGTTTATACTCTAATAAAAAGTTTCCCAAGCCAAAGAGGTCATCTTAATACCAAAAAAAAAAAAAATTATATATAGTTAACTTTTTTTAATTGCATATTTTCTAAGTATAGATTATATTAAATTCTCTTTAAATACAGGTTTTTTTTAATTTCAAGCTATATAAAGTTATAATAAACTTATATTTTTTTAAATACAAAATTTTTTTTACTTAATTGATAATCCATTTGTCACCTAGAGAGGATCTGCAAAATTTTATAAGTAAAATTTACTATTGGTCCAAATGTGGCATGCATGCATCTAAAACTTTTTTTTATACTAAGTTAATTACTTTTCTAACTTAAAAGACTTTTGTAGAGCTTGTCAAGAC